AACCAGGCGGCGAGGCGCAACGCGGCCTCTGCGCACTGCACTTCGTCGTTGAAGTCGACGGTTCTGGGGCCGCCGCGCGAGAGCGACCGCTGGCGCCGGCGCGGCTTTGGTCGGCACTGAGCTGGACGCCGGAGTCGAAAGTATACGAGCAGTGGCACCGTAAGCAATGCAAGGAAGGCCTCGAGAGCCAACGGAAACGCGCCGGCCCACACCTCCAAGAGGACAAGGTAGACGCACGAGCAGACGAGGCCAGCGGCATGCAGCGCTGTCCATGCGACCGAGATATCGCTGACGGCTTTGGTGCGAACGAGCCAAAGAAGCGGGCGAAGTGCGCAGAGCACGAGAACGAGCCCGCCGATGAGGCCAACGGCACTTGCAGCGACGACGATCGATGCCATGGCGACCTTAGATTTTGCTCGACACAAGCCGTTGCAAGCGGTAACTCGAGATGTTGTCGTAACGGCAACAACAAACGGCGCTAAGCGGGGAAGGCTACGTAGCCATGCATACAGTACAGTACATATAACGACGCCTCGATTCTCTTTGCCTGGCTACTAACAAGAAGGCGCACCGGTGGGTTGGATGAACGAAGGGTCCTATATTCCCAACGCGTTGTTGCAAGCGTGATCGAAGAGCACTCGAACAAAACGTAATAGAAAAATCATGAGTCAAAGTTGCTTGACCTTACGCCTTTGCCTTGCGTTGCCGAGCGACAGCCTTTTGAGTCGTACCTGACTTGACAGGCTTTGTCTTCTTGACTGGCTTCTTTGTATTGGTCTTCTGGACAGACTTCTTTGTCGTCTTGGCCGGCGAAGGCGCGGCAGCGTGGGTTGGTTTCGGCGTCGTCACGGGCTCGAGGTGCGAGGTGTCAATGGGCATGCTGTGCAGCATGTCAAAGCAGCACGTTTGCCACACGTGGCCGACCTCAAAGTGCTCGATCCACTTGGGATCTGTGTACTCGACTTCGTACACGCCTTGCTCTAGCTGCCGCTCCTTCTTGAAGCCGCTGTAGACGAACGTGGCATTCTGCTTTAGCGTCGCCGGCGCGTACGCCGTCTGCTCGACGCGCTTTACAAACGTGTGCGCGTTCGCAGTCATCCACGCGTGATCCAGTGCTTGGCCATTGGACGCGATAGCAAAATGCTCATTAGCACTCGAGAAACCTCTGTTGGGACCCACGGTGGCGTACGAGGGGAAGAGGAACCGGCCGTCGTCGAGGAGGAGCACGAAGAAGGAGGCGTCCGATGGCAACGTGTGGCCGCCGTCGTAGTAGACGCTGTAGACGCGGAAGACGACGATGCACTTGCCCCGATGGACGCGGACGACGCGGACGCGATAAAGGTCGGTGGCCATCTTGATGGCAAATGGCACTCTGCGCGCCATCTTAGATGCCGAGAGTGGCTTTGAGTGATGGTCGAAAAAGACCTACATTCGTAGATTTGGCATCTCGATGCGCGTGAGCAGAGACTTTCACCGTCATCGCCGATAAGCTACATTTTGATGAGGCAAATCAGACTTTTCATCCGAGGCTTCCTGGCTTGGTGGGTCATGGACAACTAACGTCCAAGCGGCGTTTTCCGGAGCATTTATGCAGCTATTGTCGCCGAGGCCAGAACGCAATCGCATGGGGAGAAGAGTCTTGTTAGACTGGTTGGTGGGTCACAATGAGTGTCCAGTGACGAGGCAGAGCGTGGAGCTTGAGCATGACTTGCTTGTGTCTTGGACGTTAACTGTTGCTGCCTTGTCACAACGGAAATCGCGGTTCGGTCAACTGCTTACGATGGCGCACTTGCTAGGTAAAAACACAGCTTCACCGAGGGCAAGGCTGCAGCAGGGTGGTAACCGGTTCGTGCGGACGGCCAAGAAAAACAAACCAAGTCCAAGCCGATATAGTCCTACGGACAACCATCAGAACACCGGGCCATTATAACGCAGCTGGCCAGACCGACGTGCACATCCAAGGAACCCCCGTTGGACCAGAATGTGTAGAGAGCTTCTATTTTAGAGTCGTTATTCAAGCAAATGAGCCCACCTCGCTACCATAGCGACTGTTGAGACTTCAAATACGCAACGTGCAAACAGCGAACCCCAACACCGAGCGCTACGTACACGTCCATTGCAGGCCAGCGAACGACGTCGTTTCAAGACCTGTCGAGTCGAATACTATATGTTGGCTATCGGATAGAGCGCACACGCGAGCGTTCCGAATGGATGAGACTCGAGGCAACAATCGAGGCATTCGACAACCAAAGTTGAGCTATCGGACAACCCGAGAGGAGACATTGGGGCATTGAGTAGTACTTCAAGCCACTAGAGGCTTCCAA